TTTGTTTGTTTGTTTGTTTTTTGGAAGAACTTAAGCACAGAGGCCTGATTTTAAGCCCATCCGACACCTGCTACAAGCTAAAATGAAACCTAACATCAGATAACGATCCCACATATGCTGTAGCAGAAGAACATCCCTGAGATCAGGTTTCAAAACATTGTGGAAAAGCAAAAGATAGACGAATGACAGCTCTACGGACTACGACTGTACAGGTCTGTGACACGTGACAACATGATCAAAACACAAGCTCCATTTGCAATCTTGTTTCCTTGTTTATGCAAGGTGTCAGAGCTTTAAAATGGCTTTTAAGTGGAACCTGTGTTGAGATTTTATCAGCTGCCGTCTTCAAGCACAAGAAGGATCCGTCAGTCTCAATGTTTTGTCCAGGTTTTATTGGAAAAAAGGGCTTTACAAAGAAAGTTTGACAAGCAGCTGCACCTCGGTATACAATGCAATAAAAATGAAAAAAAAAACAAAAAAAATCTCTCTGCTAGGACATTTCTGTGGACTGAACACGAGTCCAAAAAGTAACAAATATAATACATACATACAGTACATACAAACATACATGGATACAGACTTCAATTTACAGCATGTCAACAAACTATGTACATCTACTTAAATATTATTAATCTATTTGCTAATTTCAGTGTAGCACTTGTGAAATACTGTGAATAACCAGCATGTGATGCTTCTTATTACTTAAGATGAGGGAGTCATTTCAGAAGGCAGAGCACGAAGGCACTGGATCCAAACCCAGATGAGAGGAACTCTTCTTGTCCTGAAGTAAATATTACCTGTGATCCCGTCTTCAAATCCTGTTTTTCTGATTTCCAAAAATAACCGTTTCAATGATTGTTTTAAAGCTTCGATAGAATTTCTAATCACATTTTTCGTTTCTCTTTTGACATGATTCATTACTTCTAGTACAATCTAAGACATTGTTTTGAGCAATAGAGATTTTTTTACCTTTAAAATGTATTTGAGCTACAAAAAAACACTCCTAAAAGCAGCATTATTAGCTTTATCAGCTTTACTAAAGGCCTGAGGTCTATTTTTTTCTTTTACATGACTTTGGAACAGCAGGGAGAGGCCTGTTGTTAAACAAACAGGGAAGTAATTTTGGCCCAACGCTCGCTCTAAGCTGCTGCTCTGAGTTATCCATTTATCACAATCTGCTCACCTAGAAAAACCAACAAATGGCTTTGCAGAGTATCTCGGTGCTTTCGTTCCGGGTGCCTGTTACAACAGAACTGGTTGAGTCAGTATCTTGCTCAGCCTACAAGCACGGCACAGAACACTGTGGCGCAATGAAGGAAATGCTACTGGAAACAAAAAAGTTGTCTCAAGTTCAGTCTGGAAGGAGTGTGGCGTCCTGCATAGATGTGAAGGGCAACGCTGCAGAGAGAGGACGGAGGAGGGGAGAATTGCTTTGAACTAACAGTCAGTCCTGCAGGTTGTTGCCAAGGCAGAAAAAAGTGCAGTGCAGCCTAGCATGACTCAGCATGACACCTAAACCTGACATGCAGACATTTAGTTGGTGTCGCTGTGATACATTCTCAGAAATACTGCTGCTGTGGTTTGAATAATATGTCCATGTGCTATGCTGTGATCTTTAACCATCCCAACAGAAATGGCACCTGGTTTTGGCAAGCATAGCTGGGGCAGGCACGAAACTGACAGCCGCCCCGTTATCACCCAGTTGTGGTCCTTAAAGGGGAAGTAAAGAGGATATACGTAGGGGCGGGTGGTGGCGACAGAGAGGAGGTCAGGCGAGGTCGGTGGACGTCCCGCTGATGGCACGGAACACATGGAGCGAGTTCTGTAACAGCGAGCGCATCATGTCCTCCTGGTAGATCTGGAGCCGAAAAGGAAAACGTACAAAGGAGTCAAACACTCGTACAAAATGAGGGTTAACGTACACATGGCTCAATGGGATGTGACACATATGATTCAGCACATATGGACAAGCACTGAGACAAGGAATTTCTGCGATGAAATGCATCAAATAAAGCTATGAAAGTGTCAGGCATCAAGTGTCAAGCATAAAAATGATTAAAAAAAAGTAACAGCACTACCTTATTTTGTTTTGTTTGAACAATTAGTTCATTTTTATTATAAATACTTGTTGATTTGCTGAACAAACCGATTATACGGGCAGTTCTTTAGAGTTCTAAAGCTGTTCTTCCACTCTGGAAAGTTGTGTTTATACTCCTAGCTACTAAACAGTTTGTTTTATCTGCTCTGCAACAGCATCACATAGTTTCAAGGCAATAGGTATTCATCCACTCAGTGCCTGAGCAAGTCTGCTACAGCTTGTCATAGGCGATATGCACACTGCAAATAATTTAAGGGACGCTGCCAGTAAAAGCAGGAAAGACTAAACATTCCGCAGCAATAAAAGGAACTGTGATGAATCTAAACGTCATGAACAAAGGAAGCTACTGACTCTTATCTGCGCTTTTGATTTTTGATGTACTACAGAAGTGCAACATTACTTCAATGTCAGATGAAAAGTCCTAATAGTGAAGACTTCAAGTTGAACAAGCGGGTATGTAAATTTAAAAACTAAAAGTGTAGATTGATTCTATCAGAAAATACAAGTCCCAAAGTTGAAACTTTGTCAACTCCTCAGGAACTCATTCAGTTTCTCTTGGCTGAAGGGGTCGTGTTGCTCTGCCTTTTATGTTGAAAAAACCCTAAATGTGTTCTATTGGACTCAAGTCTGGCAACAAACTCAGCCAGGGCTCAGTTTTCACTTTCAGCTCCCTTTAGAAACCCTTGAGTGACATTGGCAGTGTGCTTTGGATGCTTATCACCCTGCAATATTCCTTTTCTTCCAAGCTTCAGGAGACTTGTTCACCAGTATTTTCCCTGTCAACATTCATGAAGCCATATGTTTTCTC